GAAATTTGAGCAATTAAAATAACTCATGGTAATGTTCATTTCGAAGTTTAAACTGATATTCAATATGCCTGGATTATACAGGAGCAGACGAAATTATCCAGTTAGTTTGTACATCTTTGACAGCGCTACTAAATTTGGCATTTTTCTTTCATAATTCGATTCCTCTCTCACTTTGCTAAAAAGAAGGTATACCTTATATCAGTCGATATCTTGTCCACAACGAAGCCCGATAGGATATTTTTTTATGAAGTACTATAACTATTTTGACCTCCCCTGTATATCCCTTCATTTTTGACATGACCTTTCCGGACATCCTGTATGTAAAAAATGTTTTTTTTTTTCACAATCAATATAATTAGGTATTACCTATTATTTATTTTCCGCAAAATTTACATTTTTATTAAAGTTACAGCATTCTGAATTGTCAAAAATGATTGTCGGTATCAAATTAAAATTTAAATAAATATAACTTCGAAGAAAATTAGATTTTGTGAAAGTAAAAAAAAACTGCAAAAATATTTTGCATATAGAGGGTAGACCATTTTAATCGATCCACGATTTATCAATTATCTCGGACAGTGTAAATCCTAGCGTGATGGGGGAAAACTGTTACTGATGTTAAATTTGACCTTGAGATCACCGGTCAAGGTCAATTTTCAAATTTTCAAATTGAAAAAAGCGTGATGTATTTCGTCACAAGCCAAAATGACCTCATAAGTCACTGTTGAAATTATTTTAATTTTTAAAATTACATACAAATTGAAGTTTCTGTGAGATAATTGAACATTTGACCTTGAAATGCTCACCAAAAAAAAACATTATACCACCCTGAACGTACAATTTTAATGTATTAAAAGAGGGGTTTCTTTTAATACAAATCAATTTGACATTCAAATGGCCTTAAGGTTGAATTTAAGGTCAGTACCAATTAACTCCTATCATTATTAACCCTACAGATTTGAAAGAAGCCATTTCTCGATAGAAACAACCACGTTGGGGTTACTGGCTTCAATATTGTGTGAAACGACCTTATGAGGTCATTTTAACACATGATAAAATACATCTGAACGTAAAGTTTTCCCCTCTTTTCAATTCCAGGGTCAAAAATAGGGGTTCCTATTTGAAAATTTTAAATTGATCCTGACCGACCTTGACCGGAGACCTCAAGGTCAAATTGAAGACGAGTAAGTTTCCCCCATCAAGGTCATTTTTCGCTAGTGTTTTCGGAATCCCAGGGTGGGTGTTCACTAACTTAATTTAATCTTATTTCCCAAATTTCGTTCGTTCACCATCTAAGTTTTCTTTATTAGAAAATCACCTCCAAAAAAACCGTTAGATCTCATACTTCTTTAAAAAATACATATAACCACTTAAATTTTCACCCGTCGCCACTGTTAATTACTACTACTATGTTTTATTTCAAGTGAAGATAATGAACAAGGGAAAAAAACTTTTTTTAATTCCGAGGCTTTCGAAACACAATTTCGTTAATGGACGTCAATAGTTTAACTTAGCAAATGGTGGAGGTAGTTAAAAATCATTCCCTTCCCGTGCAAAAAACAATTTATTACGGAATACAGCTTGTTACGCAATCGAATGGTATGGCGATGACAAAGCAAAAAATGAATAAGCAGTTAATGAGAACCAGAGTTAACACCGTAGAACAAAAAAATATCCGGACTTAATACAACTTTGGCGTGTCGAAAAGCATCTTCCAACGAATTTGAAGCATCTTCGAAATATCAAATAAGTATGATTAAAGGTACTAGTAATTGTTAAAAAAACATGTAAACCTCTTCTCTGACCGACAAAATTACAAGCTATTTAATTCTTTGTCAGCGTCAACATTGGTCGCTATATCTGCTCATACTCTTGGTACTACTTTCTTACAGTTCTGTTATCCTGATACACGGTATATTCTTGAAATTAAAGGCGAAGTTTCCATTCTTTTATAAATAATGTGGAAACAAATTAATACTTATTTATGTTTGAAATAGACATAAGACAATTTTGGTTCTAAACAATATATTAAATGTTCGTATGTTCAAGGAATAAATCAGCACGTGTCTGCGTTCATGGTTAAAACTTAAAAAAGCAACAAATGAATCACATTTCTAGTAAAAACAAATTGATCAAATACGCTCCTCTTCCCTGATAAGAGCTGACCTTCAAATATTTAAACCTATTAACATGTTTTTCTGTTAGTATACTTTTTCGATTAGCCAAATTTTATCTAGGTACCAACGAGAAAAGTGTCTTGACCTCTGTTTGGAATTACATATTTACAAAAACATGAAAGTTACTTATTTAGATGTTTGACAATTTTGGAAAAAATATTATTCTGGAATTTGTAACAGTAACCAAATAATTAAAGCTCATCGGATTTTTTCGCGATAACAGTTAAGAAGTAATTATTATTTTAGCTTTTTAGCTGGGGATGAAAATGAAATCTGGATATTTTTATTCTCCAGTACCTACATGTGTTAAATATGTGCGTGACCGTTTTATTTCTCACTACACTTTCATTGAAACAAGCTTCATATTTATCAATTGGGCAATTACAGATAGTATTTATTTATCCATCTACTCAAAACACCAGTAGGTAGTGGTTTTACATAATAACAACAATATTTTTTGTTTGTACTCGGCCAGCGAAAATATTTTGACAATAGTCACGCCCCAACCAATTGTGTAAGATTGGTGTATAATTTTTTATTAGACTGACATTGACGCACAATTCTTAAATGTCAAACATAATCTTTACCTCAATGATGATCCAAAGAAAGACGACTGTATTTTCTTTTACTTAGTATTAAATAATGTAATGAATAAATTCAAACAAAATTTTATGATAATTGACAATCATATCTCATGAATTAAAACAATATGAGTCTTCATGAAAACGCTCTTCCTAAAAAAAAAAAATCCAAAGAATCAACAGCTCAGATAAAAGATATAGTTGTGTGTACCGTGTTTCAGTCTAAATCCTGAAAAAATTCATCTCATTTCATTTTAATATAAATATACAGCGTGTTTCAGAAAGACCTCCCGTAAATTTAGGGGGTGGTAGTACGACAAAAAATAAGAATTTTTTGTCGTATGAACTAAATGTCTATCTCCTCTTGTTTTCGAGATACAGAGCGGCAAAGTAACATTTTTTAAATAGAATTTTTACGAAAATTTCCAAACGGTGCGAAATATTTTTATGAAATTTGGTATTCCGGGGTTTTTAAGAACGCCAAATACGCTGGTCTAATTATTTTTTGGATATTTCATAGAGGGCGCCAGTTATGCTACATTCCTATTACATGTTAAGTTCTAATTTTTTTAAGGTTAGGTTTTTTACCATTCGGGCTCCAATTTCTAATGCACAATTTTATTTTCTAAAAATAACGTACTCTTGTTAGAACTTCCTAATGTGGGTGGTTTTCGAGAAAAAAGGCTTTTAATTGAACTTTTACAGCATTACGGTTAAGAAAATAAGTTCTCAAAGTAGGCTTATGTCAAAACTTATTGATGGATGTCTCATAAACAACGCATAGATTCTCAGTAATATTTTAAACTTTGATTAACTTTATATCAAAATTTTAGTGATTCTTAGTGGCTGTAGTTAGTAATGACTAATTACAGTCACTAAAATTTTGATATAAAGTTAATTAGAGTTTAAAATATTATTGAGAATGTATGCGTTGTTTATGAGACATCCATCAATAAGTTTTGACATAGCCTACTTTGAGAAAAGTCACTTATTTTCTTAACCGTAATATTGTAAGAGTTCAATTAAAAGCCTTTTTTTCTCGAAAACCGTCCACATTAGGAAGTTCTAACAAGGGTACATTATTTTTAGAAAATAAAATTGTACATTAGAAATTGGAGCCCGAATTGTAAAAAAACTAACCTTAAAAAAATTAGAACCTAAAATGTAATAGGAATGTAACGTAACTAGCGCCCTCTATGAAAAATCCAAAAAGTAACAATTATACCAGCGTATTTGGCGTCCTTAAAAACCCCGGAATACCAAATTTCATAAAAATATTTCGCACCGTTTGGAAATTTTCGTAAAAATTCTATTTTAAAAATGTTATTTTGTCGCTCTGTATCTCGAAAACAACAGGAGATAGACATATACTTTATAAGATGAAAAATTCTTATTTTTTGTCGTATTATCACCCCCTGAATTTACGGGAGGTCTTTCTGAAACATCCTGTATATGTCTTTGTATTGAATTTTCTTGTTCTTCATATTTAATCACGACAGTTTTCGCGAGAATTAAACTACTTCGCAAACATTTTAAAGTATAAGTTGGCCGTGCGAATAAATATTAGAAATGATAAGATAAAGAAATCAGGTAAGTTATTCTTTGAGAATAGAAAAACAGGAAGCAAATTTTCAGAAATTATTTCAAACGAATTACTGATTGTTTACAAATTTTTTTATTAGCATTTAAATGGCTATTCCTGTCCTTGTAGCCGAATTCCTCGAAAGGATAAGCGATTCTTAGTTCTTAACAAATAGTAAATAGCTCCAGCCATCAAGGTCACATTCCCGTTGGCGATGAAAACAATAAACATATTTTTTCAAAAAATTTCGCTTATCAGTCGGTTCGCGAATCAATGTAAACAATACTTAGAACATCGTCCATTAACAAAAAGACGGTACACAAGTCGATTCACTTTTTACTGGGAAGCGAGACTGGGGAAACCAAGAGGAATCTGCGTAAAGTTCGACCTTGATCTTGGGATCCCGCTGGCGTCTTGCGAACGCGTAACATTCCAAGAGACCCACCAACACAGCCTCCTCAAGCCACCTGGAACAAACTGAAGAAACTAATGAATGAAGTGCATCTCAGTGGTGTCCAATGGAAGGGCGGCGTTCCAGCGCCTCCATTGGCCGCGACCAGTCGCTCCTCCTCTCAAGACACTCTTGCAGATCCCCTCTACACCGCCTTAAGTAAGTAGTAGTCTGATTATAAAAGGCCAACTTAACCATACAAATGCACATTAATAGATACTGTGCACCTCTACCAAACCCCAACTTGGTGCAATACGATTCCTCTGAGACAAAAAATCGTCCAAAATGTTTGTGTACAGTGCGCTGGTGCTCTACAACTTCGCGGTCGAGGAGTTCTCCACCAAAGTTTTGTTTGTGTTTTTGACAGTTTTAATGTTAGTTCGCGGCCTGCAGATGCTCCGAGAGGCCACTTCGCTACCCCCCGGCCCTTGGGGGTTGCCGGTGCTCGGGTCGCTGCCGTTTCTCAAAGGAGATCTGCACCTGCACTTCAGGGACCTCACTCACAAATACGGCAATCTCTTCTCCACCAGGCTGGGCTCCCAACTCATCGTCGTCCTCAGCGACTACAAGACCATCAGGGACACATTTCGCAAAGAGGAATTCACCGGCAGGCCCACCACCGAATTCACAAACATCCTAGGAGGTTATGGTAAGTCGCTTTTTATTGCTGCGCTCGGTGCTATAAATAAAACTGGTATACAATTGACATACTTTGCATGGCCTTCACAGGTCACATCTCCCAGTAAAAGTAATCGTCTTGTTATCGGCTGTGATATCGTATCAATCCTAACCTAGTTTCTGAACGACTTTTAAAAAAATGTACACAAAACATCAAAGGATAGTCGAATGTGCTGTGTTGCAAAATTTTAATCGCTCCAGCGCGTGTCAAAATATCAGTGGAGTGGACGATTTCAAAATTTCATTGTTGACATTGATAAAACCGCACAGGGTGGTCGCCCAAAGTGACGATGAATACGTTAATCGTTACTGCTACAAAAATTTGTAAAATTTTAATTTTCAAACTAAAAACATATCAGTGCATTGAGAAAAACGTTCCTACTAATTTTCAATGCATCATTTTAAATAGTAAAAACTTATTCCATAAGTCGAAAAAAAAAACACTAGAGCAATATTTGAATATATCCAATTCAACTAAAAACATCTCCCCCCCCATTCTGTTTAGTAGCGAAAGAATTTAAACGATAATAAAAAATTTTTTTTTTTAATTTGCGGTATTTCATGTTATTTTTAAAATAAGAATAAAAAATAACTAAAAGCATAAATATTAAGAGTAAATAAAAATTAACTTATTTTTTTTTTAAATTTTTGATCTTAAAAAATGACATTATAGCTATGAGTGCTTATAAGCAAAAATTTGTAAAAAGCTAGTAATTCTAAGTAAAATATATATTTATGTAATTTTTACTTTTTTTTAAAGAATTATTTGAATACTGAAACTTTGCTAAAGACTTTTGAAATGTAAACAATTTCACGTAATTGTTCTTAAGATTTATTACTTTCATTAACATAAAAGTTGTTAATAATTAACTAAATAATAAGATTTTTCAGAATACTCTGTATGTAAATAATTTTTACATTTTTTGTATAAATATTTTATTGTTTCACAGTCACGTATATTTCAGTTTTTGCAGGTTTTCTGCAATTACCTAACGTTCATCTGTTTAAAGTCTATAATTATTGTTTTTATTTGCAGGAGTGATAAATACAGCAGGCAAATTGTGGAAGGACCAGCGCAGGTTCCTGCACGACGGCTTGCGCCACTTCGGCATGTCCTACCTGGGCTCCAGGAAGGCCCAGATGGAGAACCGTATCATGACCGAGGTGGAGGAGTTTCTGCAAGTCCTCAAGGCGCAGAAAGACGACACCATTGACTTAAATCCAGTGTTCGCAGTGTCCATCTCCAACGTCATTTGCGACGTTCTAATGTCCGTTAGATTTTCGCACAATGACGAGAGGTTCATCCGGTTTATGAACCTCATCGACGAGGGGTTCAAGCTATTCGGGTCCCTGGAGGCTGCCCTCTTCATACCCATCCTGAAGTACCTCCCGGGCCACTCCACTACACGCCAAAAAATTGCCAAGGTAAATAAATACAATTTTTATTCATTCCTCGATTACCACCCCACATTAAGACTAGAGATTGAATGGTGTTCATTTGCTTCAGAATCGCGAAGAGATGGCGCAATTTTTGCAAGAAACAATCGACGATCACAGGAAGACCTTTGACCCCAGCCATCTGAGGGACCTCCTTGATACTTACTTGTACGAAATCCAGAAAGCTAACGAGGAGGGCACCGGGCATCACTTGTTTGAGGGCAAAGATCACGGTACGTACGTCAGAATATATCAAAAACTAAAACTATTTCACAATTAAAAGTTAATCTGTCAATCCATTTTCGTCATTACCGTTAAAAAAAATTGAGGATGATGCAAACAATTGAATTCGAAATATATATCCATAAAAACTATTACAAATACTGACCTTAAACTGGTACAGACAAAAAATGGTAGCAGAACAACAAAATTAATATCAAATTGATTTTAGTTTAAGTTAATTTTTTACTTCGTTTTAGATCGTCAAATGCAGCAGATCATGGGAGATCTCTTTTCCGCAGGCATGGAGACAATCAAAAGTTCCCTCCAATGGGCAGTTTTGTTTATGCTGCACAATCCAGACACAATGAGAGCCGTCCAAGAAGAACTAGATCAAGTCGTGGGACGCCAGAGGTTACCAAAATTAGAAGACCTTGCTTACCTGCCAGTTACCGAGTCCACTATCCTTGAAGTCCTCAGAATATCCAGCATAGTACCCATGGGCACCACACACGCGCCGACCAGGTAAATAATAGTCATTTTTTTTTTAATTCAGAAAATTGAATTCAGCATAGCATAATAACTCTTCCATGTTAATTTAATTTGTTTTTGTCAAAGATTACATTGTTATTAAAATTAGCTACAACTATTATTTTGAATGCAATTAGTTGTATCGTTGTTGTTTTATCCCGTGCACGAGCGCTAGACGCGTGAGTCACAGTCGCAAAATTCGGCGAAGGAGCAGTATTTTTTCGGTATTGGGACATTACCTCGAATTTAAATTCGCCTCTGTAAAAAAAGTGAAAGTCCCGAGCCTAAAAATAATAATATATTTGTCGGTCGTTGAACTCAGAAGTCATTCAATTCAGACGATTTCTCAAATATTTCGTAAGACACGCAGAACGACTGCTGAATGTAAGACAATACTTAAAACAGTTTATGTAACAACATAAGTTCAATATACGCATTCTTACATAATTGAAAAAAATCAACGACCCCAGACCGGATAATAAATTTGAAGATAAAACGCTGGCAGGCTTACATAACCTAAAAGTTGATTTTATTTACAGAGATATCCAGTTGAATGGGTTCCACTTACCTCAGCACGCCCAAGTGGTGCCGCTGCTGCACGCCGTGCACATGGACCCCACCCTCTGGGAGGAACCCGAAAGGTTCAACCCCGCCAGGTTCATCAACTCCGAGGGCAAAGTTACCAAGCCCGAGTATTTCTTGCCCTTCGGAGTGGGTAGAAGAATGTGCCTGGGCGAGATACTGGCCAGGATGGAGCTTTTCCTCTTCTTCTCGTCCCTCCTCCACTCCTTTCATATATCGGTGCCCGCTGGACAAACATTGCCCAGTTTAAAGGGGATTGCGGGAGTCACCATCAGTCCCAGAGCGTTCAGAGTGTGTCTGAAGTCCAGAGCGATGGACTGGGACAACGAGGACGCGTACCACTGCCATTAGTGGCTCGCGTTTTCGTGAAGAGCACGGTGTGAGTTTCCTACTGCTTATAGAGGCACAGTACTTACTACAATGAAAGACATTCCTCCGAAAGAGATCTCCGATTTGGATCGGCTGTGCAAAGTGTTCAATTTTCCGTAGTATTATAATTTAGCTGTTAGTAAAACTGCTAGTCAACGTCTCATCCTTGCATCCCCAAACGGTTCATAGTTACTTTTTTACATTTATTTTTTACCATTTTGACGTTTTTACCGTTTTATTTTTTTTACCGGTTTGGAGCTGCAATGTCGTTCGTCATGTTACCCACGTTTTAAACCAGTGAACTTAATGTAGACTTTATCCATTGGGTGGGCTTGTTGTACAAGCCGTCCACATGGTCATCATTCATGTTTTCCATGTAGCATTAAGTGTTGTAAATATTATTTTATTGTTTGTAATCTTGCTAAGTGTATATTTTAAAGAGAGCAAGACTTATTTTAAGGTTATTTTGTTATTTAAATATTTTAACGATGGCACAATGTTTAATAAATTATAATTTTAATTTATACCTGAATTTTATTGCAAGAACATTATCGCATCTAAATTAGAAGCATCTAATTATTGGAGACGTGAATTATAGGAAAATTTGGAAGGTACATAAAGTCCAAAATTTTTTATCTGTTTATTTTTAATGAGAATATAAGAGTATACAAATAAATGAGGTATTTAAAATATATAAATGAACACTAAGTTACTAATACTTTTTTTTAAGTACAAAAGACAGGTAGAGAAAATTTTGATTCATTTAGAGGAAACTTTAGAAAATATCAATTTGTGAGAATTTGGTGTGAGAGTTATTCCACATACACCTATGAGATCTACATGTTCATCCTCTAATTCCACGGAAAACTTTTGGAGAATCGTTGCTCCAAACAGATACAACATCATCCTAGCTAATTCATCTCCAACACACATACGCTTTCCTAAAATTCATTTGTGAAATAAATGCTTTAAATTTCTATACATCTATTCAATGTATGTGCTCACGTTACTTTTGACAAAATCTTTGAACTTGAATTACTTACCAATCTGGTACGGCATGAAATAGCTGTTCCTCACTACCTTTCCTTCCTCATTTATGAACCTACTAGGGTCAAACTTCTCCGGATCTGGCCACATATTTTCGTTCATATGTACTGCCCATTGCAGTGGCACTATCATGCTTCCTTGAGGTATCCTAAAGCCGTCAACCTCGACCTCCTCAGTAGCACCGTGTGGAATGCCTACTGGCACCACAGATCTGATCCTTTGGGCTTCGTATATGGAGGCCTCAACTAAGGGTAAATGAGCGATATCCTCTATGGTGGGAAGGTTATTTTGAAGGACGTCATGGATTTCTATGCGGATATTTCTTTGGATGGCAGGGTTCTTTGCCAAATACAGGAGGTACCACCTAACAACATCAACAGTTTTATTTATAACGCCAAAGAAATTGTTTTTATTTTATTTCTATCTTACCTTAGAGTTGTGAGGGTAGTATCGAGACCAGCTCCGAAAATATCAGCCAGGAGATGATAAAATTGTTGGTCGTTATAAAACTTTTCAAGAATCTCTGGTTCATCTTTTCTGCGCTCCCTTTCTGCAAGAAAAGCTTGGGTAATGTTGGTAATACTGTTGGTATCGGTGCTAGAATCGCCCTGAGCACGATTTTTCAAATATTCAGCCTGTTCTTGGATGATTTTTTTATAAACTTTGTGCGTTTCCAGCTTGCCGCTGATTAAGAAATCCATTGTTTTACCGAATTTCGGATGGAACCTGTAGAAAGAGAAAGCCACAATTAAGAACCGTCAGTGTGGGCAGTTATTGTTTGAAGAAAAACATTGGCAATGTTTGATGTGACTTAATTTACATCGTGTGCTTAATTTGCTGAGTTAATAAAACAAAAAACTTTCATAAGATTACTGCATCCATGTATGCTTAGCTCGACATATTTTTCCAGAGCCGTAATGTGTATAACAAACTAATAAACTATTTATAAATTTCTTTTTTTGATTTTGAGATTTGATCAAATCACCAAAAAACTTGATATTTTATTAATTTTACCTCAAAAATGGCAGGAAATTGAGAGGCCCTGCTACGCCAATGTGCTGAGTGCCCTCTTCCTGCAAATGTTGCAACCACTTCCAAGTTTTATCGTCTCTACTCCATGACTTGCCAAATACCAAGATGTTCATAGCTGAACCCAAACTATGGCGTAGTGGTTCAAGTGGATCTAGTGTGGATTTGTCTCCTTGACTTTCGACAAACTGAAAAGAAAACGTTTTATCGGTAAAAAATTATAATGATCAAAAGAATTTTTTTTGAACTCATAAATAAATTATTCTTTTCAATGATTTACATACATTGACAAAATCCATGACATTTTCCATAATGAGAGCCTCCATCTTTTTCCTCTGGAAACCTATCTTGGACCCCCCAAATTCTCTCAGGCAGTGATGGACAAATCGCCTCTGCTCCTTCCATAGCTCTCCTTCGGCGCAAATTAGACCTACAATAATAAGCTTGAGTACCAGCAGACCAAACTAACAATAAATTGAGACACTGGATTTGAGCTAAAGGTCTAAAATGTATCGAAAATAACTAATCTAGACAATCCTTTAGGCCGATGTAGACCGAGGTTCCAATTTCATGCGATTGGTTTGCTTCTATTCTCATATTGTTTGTACAGATCATTCGTAATCATTAAAAGCCACGTGACTGCCGAATATAGGCAACCAACATTGCGCATTTGGCATTATCAACTAAAAATACCTTAACTTTAGCATCAGTCGTAATGATTCGTTCATAATGAACAACATCAAACCATTGCTACTGATCCTATTGTTTTAATAATTTTTAACTTTACCCAAATTTAATTACAACCAAGGCGAGGAAAATAAAATTACTGTTACTTGCTACATTGTTTTTTTTTAAATTTCACGACGGGTACTATTATGCAAGTTCAAGAATGAACACATACTAAACTGTTATAGTTTAAGTCACTAATGTTGTTCAATGTTCAGCAAAGATAAAGTATAGAAATTTGTAAACAAAGCAAGTAATAACACATATTTAGCCTTAAGGATGAAGCTAATGCCATAAATCCTGTGAGTGAAGATGAAAAAAATAAAAGTATTGATAATACCTACATGGTGATTCACAACTTATCCAAAAAAATTTGGAAATATGGAAAAATGGACTTAATAGCGTAAAAAAAATTGTAAAATCCTTATAGTTTCCGAGAAAAAAATTATTGAAGATGTAGGATTTTTAACCCTTACATTGCTGGGCTACTGTAGTCTCTAGCGTCATTCGTGTTATGCGCTGTGCGCAGTGCGCTTTCTCTCCATGTGTTAACATTTTGCGATAGTGTTTACATTAGTTTTTCAAGTGTCAAAAATAGCTTACGTATATAGTAACTCGAGTTGATGAATACCGTTTTAATTTATGGTGAAGCAATAAAACATTTGGTGAAGCATTAGTGTTATGGTAAAGCAAGACAACATTTGAGTTAGTTCGTAGGAATGGGTAAGACGGGCTCAAATGTGTTTACACGTCGGTGGACAAAGTATTATTATTATTGAACAATAGTTGTAACAGGTATGTCAAATTACATCAATCAAATTTTATTAATTAAAACCACAAATTAAATGTATTAATTAATAATAACAATAACGGCAAAAGCAGTTGATTTTGCCGATATAAAATAGGTGTTATAAAATTTTATTTATGCATTTTTTTCCTTTCAATTTTTTGTTCGTTCATTTTTTTTACACTTTGCCGCCGTGCCGGTCGCCGACTGCATGCTTTGCCTTGCGGAAAGTCAGAGAACCAGTTAAGGAAGCATCTCAAACAATGCTATTGAAGCTATTAATATACTGTAAATTGCAAAGTATATACAAACGTTATTAAAAATAAATATTCAATAAAGTTCTGGTATTCTTATTGAACGTTTAACTTAAATTCTGCAATAAAAGCATGCAATAATAAATTTTATAACTTCAGGCTCTTATACAAATCAATTTTTTACACAATCATATACACACAAATTTAAAAAAGTTGTTGAATTTATAGTATCATACATGCATGCCGTTGTAGGTATGTTATCAATGATTTTTTTTCATATAAAGTTTTTGGATATATATCCTGAAAGACATCTTAATTTTCTTTATAAGTATGCATTAAAATGTAAAGGACATTTCAAAGTTATACAACAAAAATGTTTACCAAAAACATTCAATTCAGCTAAATAAAAACAAATATAGAAAACAACAACCATTTATCGTAATTTTAAGAACACATAAATTGTAAAATATATATCTACATTTCTTCTGAGTAGTGATAATTTCTCGGGTTTTTATTACAAAGTGGACTGACAAATTTTGTAAAATTATTTTCTGATATTACTAAGCGAAATGTGAAAAAAAAATCTGCAAAAGAATTCTAGTTTTAATTGTAACTCGGTAAATATAACCGTGTATATTCCCATTTCTAAATTATAATCCACCAGTATAAGTGTCACTTTTCTTTTTCTTTAAAATGAATGAATGCAGCACCTACTATAAATCAAACACCTGTGTCACCCTTGCCGTGTGACGTTTTATGGATTGATACATTATTATTTGACCAAAAACGCAAATGGGTTAGCAACGCGGGTCATGTGTAAAATTACTAGAGTTGGTATTATCTTGCATTGAAACCAGGTCTATTCACGACCTAATATTGTCAATTATATTGCCTGTACAATTCATGTAAAAAAATTTACTAGTCCCGAGAAAAAACAACAGCTTTTCAAAGGCTCTTTTACCCATAAAGGCCCGAATAAAAGGCCGTAAAAAATCGCATGCAGGGCATTCAAAACAAATGCAGAGAATCGATTACTCTTACAGCCGAAGCCCATAAACAAGTTTACGATATTTTTTCTGGCACGCATTATTTTTGCTGCCATGACCGATATGAATTTGTTTTAATAAAATCGGCACAAACAGTCAAGTACACGACCCACTGACATATAATCGCTGTCGGGGTCACCATTTATCAACTATATAGAATGCGACTTTTCCTTTAAAAAATTTACAAAAGGTACACAATTTTGGACACTTAATTAAACTTTATTACCCTGACATTTCATTCGCACTCTGTCGCCTTTATTTCGAACATCTGGCAAAAAAGATCAGGTGGGCGCGGGTTTCTCAAAGCCCTCAATTGTTTACCAAATTTCAGACAATTAGCAATAAATGTATTATTTTTTCTATAATGTCATTCAGTGAACTCCTTATCTTGTTGTCATTCGTTGAAACATTCACCTCCGAGGTGACTGCTCTCTCAGCGATCGCCACTGGGCAAAAGTCACTCGGGATTAAATCCGGTAGATAAGCAGTCCGCGACAAATTCAATTATTCTCGCGATACTTTCCTGATTTAAATCTTAAATAGTTTTGAATCAAGTTCAATATTTCTGAAATGAAACAGTCGAGAGAAAGAACTGAAGGTCAAATATTTATTCAATATTAATTTAAATGAGTTGATCAAAACGTTCTTCATTAATAAGTCATTAATGAAATAAAATCATGGTGGTTGTTAAACAGAAACAAATGAAAGACTTTCAACTGTTTCAGACAATTTTACTAGGATACCTCTTTTGTATAGTGTTTGGTAATTTTTTCATTTTCAAAGAGGTTTGAAAATTTAAAAAAGAGAACGATTATTCGGAGACGGAGAGTTGCTAAATTATCCGGTACGGGTAACAATGTAAAAAATGAAATCAATCATAATTTCCTAGACAATAAAATTATAAAAACGTGTGTAATTTAAATTTCAAGTTTCTCAACCGATCGTAAATTCTTAATTACGTGCCGGTTTTTCAGTCTGTCTTTGTTACGTCCGTATGTAAAATATGGAAACCTTAACTGTTGGCAAATATGACATTATCAAATTAAAATTTCTCAATAATCGGTCGTTTTTTACTTTGTTAATAATTTCTAGTGGCCTTCCAGTGTAGGCTTATTAAGTGATATTTACAAATACAATTTAAAAAAAGTTTTTTTTCCAGTTTCCTAATGATTTGTTACAGGCAGACTTGCAACCGCGAAACGCTAAAAATGTCTGAGATAGGCTAATCATTGTTTTGATTGTACAGTTTATTTTTTAGGGAAGAATTGATTTAGTCGCTGCCAAATATTTTTTAAATCAGTATAAAATATTAAACAACTGATACTGCATACATCATATTAAACACCGACAAACGTAACAAGTAAAAATTATAATCAAGAATGACTTTTTCTCGTAAAATGAACAATAAAAATTGTTTAATGTCCGTTTCTATCAAAGTATGCCGATTAATACACAAATTGAAATTATAATATAAATTTTAATTCTAAGCAACTTTCCTTAATAACATATTTAGTGTAGGAATGTACCAATGGTCTATCAGAAGTTACGTGAGAGCGATAAAGTAAGCCATAGAAATCCATTTGATAGACAAGGATGGCTATAATGAAGGCGTCTAATAGTCAACGCCCATTTCGCCCTTCCACAAATAAGAAGTGGATCTTATTTGTGGAAGGGCGAAACGGGCGGTAACCATGAGAGGCCTTCATTATAGCCATCCTTGTCTATCACATGGATTTCTATGGCTTACTTTATCGCTCTCATGTAACTTTAGATAGACCATCGCTACTTTCCTACCCTGTATGTATTATTAAAGACAAAGGCAGTTTATTTTTTAACGATTTTTATATTTACCGATTTCTTCATCACCCTGTACAGCAAGATGAAAGTTCACCATGTCAACCGCATTTTAAAGACAAGCAAACATTTTAATCAAGAATGCCTTTTTCTCGTAAAATGAAAAATAAAAATAATTTCCCTCTTTTCCACTCTAACCGTGGACATAGGTACGACCAGGCAAGTTAGACAATAAATCAGCAATTTTTTTCTGATGAACCGATCGAGTTGCGGTTTTTGGCATCTATATATTACACTTTGGGGCTGGATCGAAACTGCATTGCGGGTGCATAAAGTGCATCTTGGAGTGCATCAATTTCTCCGAATTTTCTAAAAATTGTAAAAATTGACTAAAAGTTGTAGAAATTTGGTTTTCGGGGTCGAAGATTCCGAATCTGACCCTGAAAATATGCCCGACGGCCTTGGGGCCCCCCCAGGGGGGCAAGCGGGAGCCTTCTGTAAAACACCGAATAGCTGAGTAATTGCCTTCTAAATTTCCACTTGGGGGTTTTTGGGGTTGGGGATTTCAATTCTGACTTCAAGTATGCCCGACGCCCGTGGCTTTCTGGAAAACATCGAAAAGCACATCAGATTTTTGCAATAAAACTGCTCCACCCGCTTACCAACCATGATCTTGTAGGCTTATCTTTACATTGTAACACACGTAAATTTACATAGATTAGACAAGAAGGGTAAGAAAAACTAACAGGAAATTAATGAGTCGAAAAGAATCCACTTTATTCTGAGAACCAATTTTCTTTTTATTTGCAAGGCAATTAGTGAG